TCCTTTGCCACGTATACCAGTGTACATTAGCGACCACCGCCCGGTTATGCGACTCTACCTCCTTGCGGAAACGCCGATGGTTCAGAGACCATGGCGTCTCGATTGACGCGTTCTCAGGACTTTCAGTCTACGTAAAAAAATCACAGCATATCTACGGACTGAATGATGAGTGGGGCGAAGCATCCATGAGTTCGTCCGCGCTGCCGTCCGTCCGTTCATTCTTGCTTCCGTCCATCCGTGCGTCCACCCTTCCATGCATTCGTCCGTGCGTCCATCCGTTCATCCGTCTGTGCGTCCGTTCGTCCGTGCATCTGTATGTACGTCTGCGAATCCGTTTGTCTGCTTGTTTGTCTGTCTGTCTGTACGTGCATCCGTTCATCCGTCTATCCGTGCATCTATCCTTCTGTGCGTCCATGCATCCGTCCGTCCATGCATCTGTATGTCGGTCCATCTGTCCTTCCGGCTGCTTGTCTGTCTGTACATCCGTGCATCCATCGGTCCATCCATCAAGTGAACACTCCGAGTACCTCCACTCGCATCGTTTCATCATTCATTCATCATATAGAAGTACCGCCATCTAGCGAACATTCCAAGGATTAAACGAGATGTGGTTACCTACTACTACTACTACAACTAACACAGCATATCCACGGAGTGAATGATGATGAGTGGGGTGAAGCATCAAAGGGTTTTATCGGTAAACCGTGAATCATCCGTAGGTTCATCTGTATGTCTGTCTGACTGTCCGTCCGTGCGTCTCTCTGTCTTACCGTCCATCTGTCTGTGTGTTCATCTGTCCGTCCGTCCATCTAGTGAACACACCGAGTACCGCCATCTCACACCTTTTTCATCACATATTCATCAAATACAAGTACCGCCATTCAGTGGACACTGCAAGGACTAAACTACAGGTGGCTACCTACTGCTACTGCATACATTGAGAATGCAGGACCCTAAAATTTTGCCGAGCAATACGCGCATCGCTCGTATGAATATAGCTGATTGAGACCGCCCCAAAAAGCAATGGCGTCACCATTCGAGTACGTAGGTCAGGGGACGGCGCACTCGCGTGTCTGAGGACGCGTCAGTTCTAATGAAAAAAATTGACCCGAATCTACATGTCGCACTGTAAATATCGTCGAAAGACGATAGTCTTGCGTCTGGAGAGAGTAAACAAAATGTTTATTTGATGTTCTGCGTAAGAAAATCGGTGAATGGTATTCTGAAGGCGCTGCGTAGAGCTTAGAATGCCTCGAGCGTGTAGCGGGGGTGAACAAGCGCATTTGGGCACGTTAGACACGAGCGCCATCTGGCAGCTATCTTCGAAGGCGTGCGCGACCGCGGAGAAAGATGCGTGCCAGTCACGGAAGTGATAAGGTGTAGAATGGAAAGCGACGGGCAGGTGCCACCACCGTGCCGTCGTAGCAGAGCGTTGGAAACACCTTCTTGAGCATCGCGTTGCACTGTCAGCGCCGCGCGTTAAACGCTACAGTCTTTAGAGTTCTATTTATCCTTGCAGTTCTATTTATCCTTGCATTCGAACCCTTCTTGAGAGCCGTTGAACACGGCCCACAGATTCAAGGCTTACTCCTACCTGGTAACACTCAAGTAAAGGTCACTGCATATGTCCATAATGAACATTCACTGCAACATGCACTGAAACTTTCCATCATTTCGGCATTATCTCCGGTGGAAGGCTATAAACTTTGCTTATTAAATGCCAGTATTCCTTTATTGGCAAACCCAACGGTCGTATCAGCATCACGTAGCCTTTACAGTGGTCTCCAAATGTTACCATACTGGGCGTCACTAGCACTACATTTTGTGCACACGACATCTGGTCGTCCGTTTTACAAACTCTTCAAAGTGATGTAAAAGCTGCCAGACACTTCGGCTTCCCGTTTGGAACGCCGGTACTTATCTCAATCGGTTTACCTTGGGAAATTTTGATATCTTTGTCATACTGCAAAACCCCCACTCCACGTCTCCAAGAAAGTTCGAAGTTGTATCAGTTCATTTTTCATGTCGGGTGGCAAAGAATCGTTATGTCGTCCGGCGTTGGCTCAACCACGAAATCAAGGTGGTTTTACATTCCCCGAAGTTTCCCTCACGACTTCTACCTTGTGCCTCGCACTTTATTGCCAATACTAAGCAATGACGGTACGCCCGCTCAGACACTAGCTCGCTACTGTCTGGGGCCATTACTACGTGTCTTCTTAGCAACTAGCCAAATTAACTGTGGTCACCAATCAACTGAATTGCCTTCTTTGTAGCGAGCCCTTCTGCCATTTCACCGAGATCTGGAGGCTACGTGCCCAGAAATAGAGCGGTCACCGAATCTAAAGTGGTGGACAAAATGGCCGCCATTCTGCGGCCCTGGGTGCCCCATAATAATGTATCTACAATTGACCGCCCATGGAAACGGATAGCTGCAGCTGAATTGCCAGGCAATCTCCGTAACTTAAGGTGGTTGGGCTGGAATTAGCTCCCCACTCGAGATCGGTTTGCAACGATGGCAGGCGGTACGCACCTCGACTTGCCCCATCTGTGTAATGGTCGAGACCAATCAACATGCGACCGTTGAATGTGTGGTCGCCCGCCTTTTCTGGCGTGCGGTCTGTGCTGGTTTTCAAGGACAGGGAGTGCGAACATTCGTGTCCGGCGGCGGACGTCCACGTGGGCACTTCTCGGTTCTTTTAATAGTTTCGGGGCTGTACATGTAGCCTTTGGTGAAACCGATGAGAGGCCGTGGTGGGGAATTGCTGCCGGCGTGCCTTGTAGCCGATACTGGGGCGAATGAGACGAGATATCTTCACATTCCTCTCAGAGGAGCTTTTCTTCCGCGAGGAGCATGGATTCTTGCGGCTTTGGTCATGTCCTCTCGTCAGTTGATTGATATGTGGGGTTTAACGTCCCAAAACCACTGCATGATTATGAGAGACGCCGTATTGGAGGGCTCCGGAAATTTCGACCACCTGGGGTTCTTTAACGTGCACCCTAATCTGAGCACACGGGCTGTCCTCTCGTCAGTGTAGAACACGGAAGGATACAATTGACTCATTTTTCGAAATATTGATTCATGCTTCGTTTGTAACAAATTGTTTCATTGCATCTATTGTATCATTGTACCATTGCATTGTGACATTGTGTTCTCATATACAAAATGCATGCCACATCTGCCATGTAAAGCAGAGCCCTATTTGTCACAACAAAGTCGTGCCATGTAGATGTGCCGATGTTATAGAATGTTATGAAATTCTTGTTTTTGTACACAGTGTAAATAACTTTTTTTCTAAACAAGACTTCTTGTCTTTTCTACATATTGTAAATAAACTTTTTTTGTCTAAACGGTACTCTTTAGTGCTTAACGTAGATGCGTCGCTGGACCTACGCGCAACTTGCTCCCATATCACTAACTCTAGGGGCCCTTTACTAAGAGCTTTGCGTTACGCAGAAGATTGTTCATCTTTTTAACAATACAGTTCATCTGTGGTTTCTATAAACTGATTTAATGTCGTGATGGCCAATGCACAGGGGAGCTCCTGGGAAATCACGGCGATGAAATGCAAAGTGATGCAAGGCTGGGCGAACAGAACCTCTGCCTGCCCACCTGCATGTCTCCAACTGGCCTCAGCTCACTTCCACACCTCTTGCTATATTATACATGGCCTGGCTGTGCTCTTACCCTCTCCCCTTGTCTCGATTTCCTTCCACACCAACTTGCTATACTGTACTACACATGGCTATGTGCTACTCTACAATCTCTTGCCACCTCTCACCCCACTTCAATCACTATGCTGCAGACGACGGATGAATGAAAAAAATTACACCAACTCCCACTAAAGCAAAAGATAAAATATTTGACGCAGCGTGCGCTAATGACTACACTGGCAGTAGCGTTGACACTGGCGCTCATCGTGGCGTTAGGCAGGAGAGAAACCTGAGAAGGTGCAAAGCACGCAATGAACCAGTGTTTCCTACTGGAACATGCCAAGTGTTGCTAATGGGCAATAAGATATATAAGACTCCAATTGGACACAGAGGCCTCCAGTTCGCTTTAAGTCACGCTGCGAATCTTGTTCAACAACTCACAGGATAAATCTCCCACCGGCACTACCTTGGAAGTCAAGATCCAGTGCCTTTATATACGGGGTGGCCAGTGAACGGTCAGGCAGCGCGAGCAGTCTTTTTTTGTTTTTAATCAAGAAACTCGCTATCAGGTGCTGCCTACGTCGTCATTGCGAGGTGAGAGGGGCAAGCGTAGAAGAAGACAGAGAGGAGAGGGAACACGCATGTGCAATCGGGGTGAAAACGCCGCTGGGAGGCATGCCTAGAGAAGAGAGGGGAAAGCAAGAGTAGGCCAGCAGACGCTGCCCGCCTCGGTGTTGCAAGGTGAGGGGCAGCATAGAAGAGAGAGGGAGGAAACACGCATGCACAGTAAGGGTGGCCACGCCGCACATTAGATTGACCTTAACCATAAGATGCTTCGCATCTAAAAACTTTGCTCCGTCATAAAGTAGGTGCGGAGGATACTTGGTTCATTCGAGTTCGGCTCCAATCGCTCTGCTGTAAATGTTTCTCCCTCTTATAGAGACCTACCTGTAAGCAATGAACTCTGGTATGGAGATAATTCGATGATCAGTTTGAAGAGTGAACCCCTTTAAATGTTCGATGCTGTTGATGAGCTGTGTTTGTCCACACAGTTTTTGTAGAAACGACCAAGAATTAGTTCGGCTCTCCGATGGTGCTTTTTTTTTCCTGCCATTGCCACAGAGAAGCCGACTTAGTTTCGATGCAGCTGTGGTCTGGCAGATGAGAGCATGCACACATCCTTTTGAGTAATAAAAGCAAGAGTCAATTCACTTGCATTAATAAATTAAAGTGTTTTGGCAAGAGGGGGCCACAATGAGTAAACTCGACCCCTTTCTAGTTGGAGTCGAGGAGCACATTATGGCATGATAGGAGCTAAGAAAGTAAGAAGGCAGACACACTGCTAAACATTAGGCTTGCATTCAACTCTCATTTATTACGCCACTCTTATATTCCTCCCACCTCCACTGGGCAATAAAAAAAAGAAACAGGTGGTGTCTACGAAAATAAAAAGCGTCAACGTAAATGTGGCAATCCTAACATCACAGCTAGCAAAATTGTGTACACACTCGTATACATACATACATATATATATAATACAGATTCATGCGCAGCAACCACGAAGGAAGCCTACAGGAAATTTCAGGCTTATCAAAACCATTACAAGCAGTAATGTGCCTACACATACACACAGGGAAAAACAAAAGTTTGAGTACCGAGAGTATAACTACAGAGGCATCGCAACCCAAACGTACGTCACAAAATCGAGAGCGTGTCTGCTGGCCTGCTTGACTGTTTCAACTTGGCGACCGCTTTTTATCCATACGAGGTCGCACTTATAATTCAACGGTCAATTTTTGATACAACACACAAAGTGCTATATAAAAAAAATCTGGTGACTTCCACTGAAGATACACTACGGAAACTTCAAACGTACAAAACAAAGATGTACATTGGCATCGGCCAAAGTACAATCAGAATTTTGGTCCAATCTGTATCACATACATTTTTGCACAGTGTGCAGAATGTCACGATGATCGACAAAAGTTCCAAGAAATAGTAACCAGCTCAGAAACTCGAGTAGAGTAAAAGAAAGAAAATATGCAGCATTTTCATGTAAGCAGCTCTTTCTGAGCGCTCAGCAGTTCCCGAGCATCCCAAATCTGAGCTAAAGAAGAGAACTCATTGTAGATACGCTCTTAAGTCAATGAATGTGAAGTAAGAAGGGCATCCCTAGCACATGAGGCTAAGAATGGGTCAAAATGGTCTTATATTAAGCAATTTGAGACATTGCATAAGGATGCACAATAAAGTCACTAACAGAGGTGACTGTACCACCCAATCCACTCCACCAAAAAGAACTGTCTTAAAATACTTTCCAGTAGTAAGAGCTTGCATACTGCGACAAACATACAAGCAGTAAAAGCAGCAGTGTGCTTACATGATGCCTACCACTAATTAAGTCGCCCTCCACATATGCTAATGCTAACACATCTTTGCAATGTTGCCACCAGCACAAGTCAGCCAAAAACCAACAGTCTTTTCCACACCGTTTTATGAAAACTATAACACCTAACAAGGATTTTCTCATGAGGCAAGTCTAACGAAGATCAACAACCCAACTAGCTCAAACCATACAAGGTCTGCTTTCCTCATCGCGTCACGGTACAGACAACGCATTCCAAATCCAAACTGCTTCAGTTTGTTCGTCCAGAGTTTACTCAAGCACACTTTCAAGCCAGTGGAAAACACACTTGCTCAGAAATACATTACTGCACTGGCGTGCTTGCTATAACGGGTATATAGATACATGAATGTGGGCATGATGAGAAACGACCAGGATTGAATGTGATCCTAAGAGGTGGGCAGTTTGTTTCACTATGTACTCCATCATAACTACGATCTATAACCAGTGGATGAGTCAGAACCATTTTCGACAGCACTTCAAGTGAGCACAAATAAGTCGCTGCTTGAGTTTTGTTGTTTTAGACAATGACCATTGATGCCTACAACAAGTGAGTAAAAAGGCAAGTACACAACACTAGTCCAAACCATTTACTTTTTTTTACCTGCAATTTTTTTAAACGGGTCTTGAGCCCCCCAAAAATTTTCATTATTATTATCAATTGAGATAAAACTTCCTGAGGTTTTGTGTATTTGTGAGCCGATTCAAATATGCAATTGTTTTTGTAGCGCAGTAGTCAGTAGTTTTTTCAAATATCAAACATTTTATATCCTTTCTTGCAGCAAGAGCTTGTCTAAGCTGATAGGGTCACCAAGTAAATAAGCACATCAAAATGACCAGGACCGAGACATTAATAAAGCAAAACAAAAATTGATGTTTCTTAGCCATTAAAAAAAAATTATGGCAACATAAAGATTTGAGAAAGTCTAGGACAAGCCAGTGTATCAGTCACGAATGTTCCACACGTCATAACTGCTGTTCAAATAGGTTCCAATGATCCACTGTCGTTTTCTTGCGTTCGGCTCTCATTGTGAGTCACTCTGATGCACTTATTTCCTTTGTAAATCTCTCTGTTTAAGGAAACTACGGCTCTGAAAATGGCATACGCAATGGATATTTTAATAACTATATATTATAGTAGAAAATATTACATTTGAAATGAGCCCAGAAATACACATAAACTCAAGGAGTTTCCACCGAAATCAACATAGAATTTAAAGGAGAGTTTCAAGTACAGCCTTTAAATCGGTGCAAAAATATAAAACAAATGTCACTTAGAACCACTCTGTGAAATGTCAACTGCATTTTCACAAAGCGCATGCGCCAACTAACCACCGCAGTTTTAAACAAGCGTCTGTGATGAAGTAGCAGAGGATACACGTGCACAATACACGTGCACAGTTTGGCGACTACACAGACGACTCTGTGCGGAGTGTAATCATGGAGGTCTGTCCAAACTGTTAACACAGTTATATGCAACACAGGCGGTTACGGCTACGGCTAGGACTGTGGATACAGTTGCCACATGACCAGCCTGCCACTGCACTAAGCTACATTATCGAAACTTTGTTCACTTATTTACACTCATAGTTCGTCAGCTGGTATGCAATGAATACAAAATAAAGAATGAACACCAACTAGTCTAACCTACGGTTCTCCTTTAATTTGAAAGCTTCCGCAAAGACTGCACGAAAAGAAATAAACATGAGCGCAAAAAATCAGCGATGGTGAACAGGGAAAAAAAAGAGTATTAAACGAACTCAAAAATTAAGCTTCCCCATAAACAGCCTAGTTCTCAAATGTCAATCAAAAAATTAATATCTGACAGGCTTAGAGAAGTCAGCAATGATGCCAGTAGTATCTCGTATTGACATAGTCCCTAGGCTATATGCTCAAAAACCTCCGATGTCATATTTAATTCCACCCAAACACTATAGCTGAAAAGCTTGAGACGTCTGTATGTTATCTAAATAGACTCTATTGACCATTGAAAATAGATCCTTATCTTATGCTTTGTCTGCTCTTGTAGCTTTATTTCTATATTTGTATGAAGAGTGACTTCTCTTTCAAAACAATTTTTATCAGGTACGTACAATGTCAAAAGTAGCTGCCCCACGGTTAAAGTGACTTGATTGTTTGTCACCCCTTTCTAAATTACAATTACCAATAATGAACCTAGTTATGGATGCACCTCGCTTTACAACTTGTGTTTTCCAAGCTCCTACGAATCACAAATTTTCCCATTCATGACCGAGAGTTTAATGAAAGATGGCATCAGTAGAACTATGTATGCTTTTGGGAACAAGCGGGACAGTTGTATCCTTGTGCCTTCCTGAATGAAAAGAAGTGATACACACGAATTCGATCAATACTTAATAAGACGAAAGGAGGGACGGCGCTTCCGGGAACATGAATCAGAGGTACAGGAAGTACCAATGCATCACTGAATCTCAGCTGTCACCTTAACATGGCTTTTGTCGACACTAACATTAGCAAAACATACTTGCACTAGTTACGACTTATGTCTGATGTTTGAAAAACATCGCATTTTTCTTTTTCAAAAGCCACGAAGTTCAAACTAAAGCTAACCGAAATCTTGGAGTTCTGCAAAAGTAGACTTTTATTATCTCTGTCAAAATCAGGCAGGGCTGTAAGTTGCCTCGAACACAACTGCAAAACTATTATGCACTCAGTAAACTAGTCTATCTTTCTGCCATTCCAAATTATTAACAAAATCTTATGCAGATGCTGTTTTGCAAGCTCATTATACCCGAGGAGCAGTTCGACAATGTACACATCTGATTGTGCTGAAAGCTTGCATGACTTGCGGCTATGGTCGACGTACAAAAGGCACTGGCCTTCACCGACATTACACATAAGCCTGTAGCCCGTACAATTCTCATATGGCCATTCAGTTAGCCTTTTCAAGCAGAAAGAGCCTCACAATTTTTTCATCGCAGTGGGAACCACACTCCTTATCAGTCAGACAAATTCACTTAGTGACACAACCACATTTCAACTCAGTTTAAGGCGCAAGGTTGTACTTTGAAGGCGAGTGGCATGTGTCAATCTGAATAGCCCATCATTGAAACCAAGCGTGGTTTGATCCACTGGAATTCACACAGCAAGACAGTAACCCCAGCTCTGCCCATGTTTTAGTTGAATGAGCAGCTGTGATATAGACTGCAAGAGTTACGAGCTCTATAAGGGACATTGCTTCGAAGCGTAGACAGCATATCTGCAAGAACTAAATTCAAATTACAAATGGGGTAATTAAATATAAAGCTGCACTTGTGAAGATCGGTGGTGTACAAAGTGCAGCCTGAGAGCTGCATGTGGTTTTTTTAGGTCTGCTGGTGGCCAGTGGCCCTAACTATGCCATCAAAATATTGTTAGTGTTTGTTCAATCAAGTATCTTAAACAAATTTTTACATTTGTTATTGCAGACCAGACTAGCACTTTAGCAGCGAAGAAAAGCAGTTCAAATGCTGCATGTGATCGACCTTAAAACTATTGGGTTTCACTGCAACTCTAAGCCATCATGTGAGCTTTCTGGAAACTTTTGGTATGCCTCTATACCTACCCCTGTGTTCAATGGTACATTACCCAAATAGGTTTCAGCTTTAGTATCGAATGAGCATTACCAAGGCGACTGCTGCAGTTTTTATTGTTGTCTTTCCTGCTTAGGCGTAAGTGTGCTCTTCGAAGAAGGCACACTTCATTAGAAAGTCCCAAAATGTAACAACTCTGAAGAGCTGTAGGTTTCCTAAAAGGCTCCCACTGAATTAGGGATCGTGATTCCAAATTCAGTGTGATGCCAAACGACGACACTTGCATTGGGTGTTACAAGATGGAACCTTGCATTTTTTTAAAACATGTCAAGAGCTGGCATGCACTGTTGTATCAACACGTCCACTAATTGGGCCTTCTTCGCTTTACACACGACGTCCTGAATTCGGCCTATAGGTCTAGTAAAGCACGACGTAGTGTTGTCATAACATCTGACTCTCGGGGAAAGCTCGACACACTGACGTGGAAAAAAAAGGCAGGTTTGTTAAGGTGCATAAGTGATCACTGTTCACTGTTAATGGAGAACACAAATGCCCAAGACAAGCAGTAATAAAATTTCTAAACAGAATACTACGGAAGCATAACACAAGTGAATATTTCTGTCACTGTTTACTCATTTTGCATACGGGCATATCTAATAGAAACAATTAAGAACCAAGTTAGAGCGTTCTTTATGCAAGACAGGACTGGGCCAAAACCTCATAGATTATAAGCTGCAAAGCCCCTCGAGACATAAAAAAACAGCTTATGCAGCTCTTTTATGTCTTTATATATTACTCGGTTCTACAATTAAACTAGGAAATTCTTCGGTTCTACAATTAAACTAGGAAATTCTTAAAATGTGACAGGATTGACTTCATATTTTTTCAAGCCATCCGACATGCAGTAATGGTTACGTCATTACAACATCTCTATTCTGAATCAAATCTGACCTTATTTTTTTACTTAGGCCTTCTCGGTAGAATTTACTCCCCATTTCATAAAGCAATATACATACAACTTCTATGCAACTTGACCACACTCCCTCAGTAGACCACACTCCCTCAGCAGAGTTCAATAAAGTCCTGTATATTCCGATGAAATCAACTAGGATCTGCTAGCAAGACTTAGGAAATGAAGTTGTTGTGTCCATAGAGTGACAAAATAAAAATGACAGGGCTCTAGCTTGGACAAAACATTTGCTAATGTTGACCTATGAACACACAATTCCACACGGTGTCCAAAACAGCGACCCATCAGTATCTAAAATGACTTCCCATTATTCCTCCACTCATGACTCGCAAGGCTTATAGGACCTTCTATACCAGTCTCTGCACGCTTTCGCTAAGAAGCACCACATGAAACTGTTCAAGGTGTGCTCATAGAAAATAGTAGCTGAAGCGCATGCTTCATTGTGCAACGCTGCAAATAAACAGCTTGTCAACATAAAAAGTCCTAAAACGAGAGCAGCTCTAATAAAACAAAAAAACCCTCCGGAGTCGCTTGACACACTTAAGAAAAGAAGTGCGCCCTAACATTTGTCTACCGCTTCCGCAAAGAGCAATTTCATTTGTCTATACAAAAATAAGTGTGGGTTTCAATATATGTACACAAATAAATACCGACCAACTGTAGACATGGACAGATGAACATAGGGAAAAAAGTGAATGAGACAAAGAAATATTAAAGAAGACCTGAAGAAAGAAATAACTGTGAACAATCACTCCATCTGTACAGCTCATCATCATTGTCGCAGACTAAAGAGAAATTAAAATACAAAGAGAAAAGAATGCAGTGAACAAGAAATGAATTCTATCTCAGAATCTGAGTAGCAGTGACACCTGGCGGACGGCAGATGATGCACTTTCGTCAAAACTAAAATGCCGATGACTCTCTCACTTTGCCGAAGCTGCAAGCTCAGCAACGCTACAGAGTGCCTGCTTCGGCAATGATGAACGCACCCAATGTCGTTCGGACAGTCATTGAAACTGCGTGCAGGTCCCGCTTCTAGCATTTCATTTACAATTTGTCTGCACTAGCCCAAACTCACGTGAGTGTGTTAGAAGACCATAGTTGACTCTCAATTCACTGCGTACCTCATCCAGAAACGAGCGTGCACACACAGCACAAACACATGAAACGCGTCACTCGAAGCAACGTCCCACTGTCTCCAGAATCCATGTGTCTGTCTGTGACATCGCCGAACGAAGTTCCTCGAATCACAGTGTTGAAACCGAAGACCGGAAGGATTCACGCAGTGACGACATTTGCAAACTTCCCGACCAGTGCAAAGAGACCGGCATTTCCCGTCTTGTATCAGTTTCCAAAGCTCTTCGACGGACCACAGCAACGACACTGGCGTCTTCAGAAGCGGATGAGTGAGCTTCCGCCTTGCAGTGAACTTTTTTTCACCGGCCATTGTACTGCTTCGGATGCCCCAGGAAGGTTGCAAACCAGATGCCACACGGCCATTGTCCTAGTAACTGTTCTCATGGCCGGCAAGGATGTAGATGTTGGAAGGTCCGGTGGGTGTGTCCGTCGCTTTACTCTCAAGCACAACGATCCTGCAAAGAGAAAATACTCGTCAGGCTCGTCAATCCTTGATCTCACCATGCAATCCTAATCTACGACGATCAGCCAAACAGCCAACGGGGTTATGGCTCCTCGAGAAAGACACTGTATTTACTTTCTGCAATTAAGCTCCAAGCTATAAACAGCTTTCATATGTTCCGAAAAACCTAATCGCAAAAGATCACGCCAATAAAGAAAACACTGTAGGGTAGATGCAACAAAATTTCAGCGTTACATAAGCACAACAAGGAACTAAACTCCTATACAAGAACTTTAGAACTTTAAGAGAGGAAAGCCCAAACACGCTGGATAACATTCCAAGATTGTAAAGCCTACCAACAGATTAAGTGCTTACTCAAGCAAAAAGACTCACTCAAATATTTAAAGTTAAGACCTCTAAAAACTACTGTATTTGTAAAAAGCCCTATAAAATCTAACTATTTTTAAATCTGGATGGCTCACAGTTGGGAAATCCCGTGAACGTCATTACCAACTGACAAATCGCAAACTGAGAAAAGCCTGAACTTTAGATTAAGAACATGATCGGTGATTGAAATAAGACTGCCGTAACTGTCACCCTAAATTTTATAACCTCATTGTGCACACTCTTCAAACATAATGCACGACACGAGCCAATGCCACGCAAGCCTGTTCTGTAATTCTCACACAGTGCGCCATTATTGCCTATGCATCCACACCAGTTTGAAACACGGCAGCGGATGGACCATAACACCTGATGTGTTACCTAACAAGCTCATTGCCCTGCTCCCCTTTAGCCAGGTTTAAGAACAACACAGGGTTGTCCTTGAAATTTGAAAAAAGTGACAGTTTTTCCAAAAGGGCAAAGCAATTAATGCAATAGCAACATATTCAAGTGTTTTACGAAGCAGGGTTGACTCTTTTAGGAGCAATGGTAATTGTAGTAAACATGTGCTTGCTAAGTAACCAAGTTTCCTTCGGCGCAGCCGGAAGACCACTACAAGCCTCATGCGTAGTGACGACAATGAAATACGAAGTGAGGCTGGTAGTCAACTCATTGAGATCCAATCTCACGTAACTCTACAAAACGCTGGTGTGAGAGAACATGACCATTCCAGGTACACTTCTGGCACCGTTGTTTCATGTTGAGAGCGCAGCCTGTGGAAGCTCCCCCCTGCTGTGGGGGCACAAGCTGAGCGCTAATAGTTGCCGTGATAGCCTCCTCCTGTTCCTTGTTCGCTCATGAGATAAGTGCACGTGCAGACGACCCCAGCGGAAAAGGTGATGTTCGCTTCGCAGAAAGAGGAGGCTAGCGCATCCTTCCCCGCATATATACGTACATTTACTAATACGAGAATGACGGTGACGACGAGGGAAAAAACCAGCCAAGACTGCCAATATAACTGCTATCGCAATAAAACAATACAATGCATACATGGGTGTTTTCTTTTGGTGCAAATTTATGTTCTGGTAAGAATGATTAAGCAGAGAAGTTGGCACTTTCATGCGCCTTATATGTCATTAAAGATTACAAAAAAGTAGAAGTTGGATTCGTTAGTGCTTCTAGTGCCCGCCTTGCACATCTATCACTGCCAAGTATGCATTCTTTTATTTCCTGACAAACCAGGTACATAATGTGAAGTACTGCCCTCGCTGATAAAGATCACAAAATAGATTCAAGCACTAACAGACTTCTGGTAAGTGCTAAGCTATGGGTCCAAGTGTCAAAAATGAAGTGTTGTGAGATGCAGTGTTCAAGACGAGAGTAGTGACGGCATACACAAGCTTCCTCAAGCTGTTTTATTTAAAGGGGCACTAAAAGGATAACATATTTTTCATGTGTACCGGTGCACATTGGCGCTAGCTCTGTGCCAGTGAGAGAAAAGACGACGACGTTTGTGTGTAGCGCTCTCTGCCTCCTGTTTTCTGTGCTGCAGCTGCCTTGCTTGTCCTGGTGAGTTTCTTGCTAAAACTCCTCTGAAGAACACGCTTGTTACATTTGGTGGAGCGCTGCTGCGTCGTTCCCCTTTTTGTCCTGGAGCTCCGCAACCGGACTTTACCATCTGCCCCCGAAATGGCCGAGGACGCTGCTCCTTCTCAAGCACCACCTACGATCATGTGTGCTGGGACGCTTCATCAACATGACCCTACGATGTTCAACGGCGCCGATGAACTTGACGTCGAAGACTGACTGGTACAGTTTGAGCGTGTTAGCGGTCCTAACAAATGGGATGACCCTGCTAAGTTGACGCGCTTCAGCTTCTATCTGACTGATGTGGCGAAACTATGGTACTACAACCATGAAGCAGAGTTCACCACCTGGTCGGCATTCAAAGAAATCATCGCTTCGTTCTTCGGTCGGCCCTGGATTGCGCAAGCTTCGCGCCGAACATCGCCTCCATGCCAGAGCCCAAAGAAACGGTGAGACGTTTAGAAGTTATATTGAGGACATCATCGATCTGTGTAAGCGCGTGAATGCATCTATGTCCGCGCGGAGTCTGACAAAATAAGGCACATACTGAAAGGCATAGATGACGATGCATTTCATATGCTGGTAGCCAAGTGCCATCAGACAGTAGCACAGGTCATTGAACTGTGCCAAAGCTTTGACGAGCTGCGCAAAGAGCGCTTTCTACCTGAATATTCAGCGCCAGTGGCGCTAAATATTCCACCTTGCTGTCACAAATTAAGCGATACATCCGTGAGGAAGTAGCTCGTCAGGTCTCTATTGTCACGTCTGTCACCGAGAGTCCCACGGCACTGGATCCCTCGCTCCGTCGTGTCATTCAGGCTCGAGTTGCTAAGGCGGTTCCACCTCTTGCACCACCAACGCAGCCTGCAGCACCTCTCACCTATGCTGAGGCCGTTACCCGTTCCTATGCTCGACCAACGCAAACACCATCCGCCCCCGTCACCAACTTCAACTCGCCACCACGCCCTGTTCACCCAATACGCCCGGTTCTCGCGCAACTTCTCTCGCCTCCCGGACCACCTCACAACCCTTGGCGACTCCAGACAACAGGCCCATCTGCTACGCCTGCGGCATTTCTGGCTATGTTGCGCGTCACTGTCGTCGTAAGCACAGTGTTTATGCCAATGATTACATCCCCAACCTCGACTACATGCCACAGCAGCCAGCATACCATGTTTCCATCGACTCATCGGGCGCTTATTCGTGCCGTGCCAGTTCCCCCTCACGTCGATCTCCTCCTCTCCGGCGCCGCTCCATTTTTCCTATGCTCCGCTGTACCAACCCCACGCAAGAGCAAAATTAAGAGCCGCAGTTCCTGAGGCACGAACTGCGTTCTCGTCGAAAATTTCAAGGCCTCATCTTTCGCCTCCGAACGAGATTGCGGTTAATATTGGTGGTGTCGCGACAAACGCTCTTGTCGACACAGGAGCTGCCATTTCTGTTTTAAGTGAAATTTTGTGCTGCAAACTGCAGAAAGTGACGACAACCGATTCTGATCTGTTATTGCGGACGGCGAGCTCGCTGCACGTTAAGCCTTTGGCGGCGTGCACGGCACGTCTTTTTATGAACGACGCATTCTACATTGTGGAATTCGATGTCCTACCAAATGCGTCCCAGGACGTGATCCTTGGTTGGGACTTCCTTTCTACACATGATGCGCTCGTTGACTGCGCTGGAGCTCGACTCGCTTTGTCCCCTTTCAGTACCACAGTCGTCGACATCCCGAGCCCGGTGCCTAAACTGGTTGCGCTGCTGATGCTATCATTTCTCCGTTCTCTGCCACCCTGGTGTCCGTTTCCTCTGATTCTGTGATTTGACCGCGCCCTGTTTACACCGTCTGAAGACTGTGGACGCCGAAGGAACCTCATACTCCCATTTGCTGTCGTTACCCTTCCGCATGGTGCCGATGTGGTCTACGTGTGCAATGCCTTTCCTTGTTCGGCAAACTCTGTTCGCGGTGAATGTGTTGGACATTTAGACAGTTTTGAGGCCATCTTCCCTTTGGATGTAACGTGCGAAAAGACACCGTTTACGATAAATGCCGTCACCTCCGCCGCAGCTACAACCTCCCATGTCCAAGACATCCTCCTGCGTAGCATCGATAACGCGCTTACGCTAGTCCAGCGCACAAAGGTTGTTCAACTGCTTGAACGCTACCGTGCCTCTTTTGATGTTGGCCAGCTATTATTGGGGCGCAAGTCTGTAGTGGTCCATCGTATTGACACCAGTCATCATGCTCCCCTGCGACAGCGTTCCTTTCGAGTATCGCAGGCCGAACATCGCATTATTAGCGACAACGTCGTTGACATGCTGAAACGTGGCGTGATTCAGGAATCGAAAACAGTCCCTGGGCCTCTCCTGTCGCGCTGGTGCGGAAAAAAGACGGTTCAATAAGATTTTGCATTGACTACCACCACCTAAACAAGATTACGGGGAAGGATGTTTATCCCCTACTCCGCATCGACGACGCCCTAGACTGCCTTCAACCAGACGAATATTTCTCATCACTGGATCTGCTCTCAGGACTACTGGCAAATGCCCATGGCTGAAGCCGATCAACCGAAAACAGCGTTTGTCACCCCTGACGGTTTATATGAATTTAACGTAATGCCTTTTGGCCTTTGCAACGCACGTGCTACCTTCAAAAGGATGATGGCCACAATTCTCAGAGGCCTCAAATGGCAAACATGTTTATGCTACTTAGATGACATAGTGCTTTTTCTGCAGATTTCCCATCTCATATCGCTCGCCTTGAACAAGTTCTTGAGTGCCTCACTAATGCCGGCCGGCAGTTAAACCTAAAGAAATGTCATTTTGGAGCCCGTCAGCTTACCATCCTAGGCCACGTCATCTCTAAAGAAGGAATTTCGCCAGATCCTGCCAAACTTCGAGTAGTTGCCGAATATCCCAAGCCCAGCACTAACTACGAAGCTTTATTGGGCTGTGCTCATATTTTAGGCGTTTCATCCGCAATTTCGCTTCCATTTTGTCCCCCTTGACACAGCTTCTCGCCGGCAGCAATGACCTCTCAGCTTGGAATGC